GTGATTAGCATGCGAGCTCGTACAAGGACCATTTACCTAGCTGTACATTTGCATCTATGTTATTGTCAGGCGAGAGTCTGATATTGTCTCACAAAATTGTCATGGCATACTATTGGCGGACTTTTTCTGTGCTTTATACGGATCTGATATGTGTAACTTTTTAATGGAATTTAAATTGAATCCGTTACGGCCTCTGAAGCCGGTGGTGAGGTGTGAAGCATTAAAGGTGGAGGAGAAATGTTTCTTGCGGTGTTTTCTAGGAGGGGTTCTGCTGATTCTGCGCGCGAATGCGCGCGTCCATAGTCGAATGAATCCATCGAGCGTACAGATTCATATCCCGAGGATCGTTGCTGTCTGCCCACCGCACCAATCGGCTCAGCCGAGGTAAAAGCAACTCCAGGATGCATCTGTTGAGGTGAGGACATCTCAACAGGAAGGCCCATGGCGAGAGAGATGGAACTGCCAAGATCATGGCTTGTAACCAATGGATCTTGCATCACCTCAGTAGGAGGTGGCCATACATTCTCGTGGAACAAGCTTCCTGTTTGACTTCCACGTGCCCGCAAAAGTCTCGGGGCGCTGGCAGAGGAACTTGTGGTGAGCGAAGTGCCATCCCACTGAGTCATTGGCGCGGGCAAGTCAAAATCGTCAGCCTCATCTTCAAGTAAGCGACGAGGTAAGCGCCTTTGCTTCTCCTCCTCCATGAGCATCCGTTGGCGAGCTTGACGCGACCGTCGGAAGTAGAATACGGCACCCAACAGAGCAATGAGCACCAACATTCCACCCACAGCGGCTCCTGCAATGACGCCGGTCCTCTGAGAGTGACTGAGAGTGCCATCTGAGGTGTTGAGCAGTGTTTGAATAGGAGTAGCAGTCTGGACAATATAAATTTAGCATGAATTTGTCCCCAAGATGATAGACACCCACAATCGTTGCGACTCCGTTAATTGTCGTGACATATTCACTGACAACGATTGTTACGCCTTCGGACACAGTCGTCATTTTTCCGTCTTCATCGAAAGAAGTTGGGCCTTCGGCCGTGGAGTTGGAATTATTGGCGCGGTCAGGATCATTAGAAATAGATTGGGTGTTTGTCGGAGATGAAACAGAAGAAATGGATGTGGTGCAAGGGGCATAAAGAGTGACTTGTGGTATCGTGCTAAGTTTAATGGGGTTCCGGTGTGAGCAGGTGTGGCGCCGATGTGCGGAAAAAGAAAGTTCTTACTTGGTTACAACAAAAGCATCAGTGAATGTGAGGGTTCGTATAATGGAAGTAATGTCGTTTACGCCGAAGCCGCCATCAGTGCTAGAAGACGATGACGAAGAGACGGAAGAATCGCCTGGAGTAGGGTTGTTGGGATCCTGTCGCGCCCTCAAGAAGAAATCAGACGTCACGGTTACCCATTCCGTTGTGAGCTCCGTTCTTGTGGAGTAGGACGTCGACAGGCTAGTCGTGAATTGCGTCGCGGTAGGAGTTGGCTGTAAAAACCGAAATGTATCAGAACCATGCGTTGCAGTGAATAAAACTGTTGAATCGGAGAGGGAATACGGTTTGGCCGTTCGACGTATCCGTATGCTGTCCAGGCGCTAGATTGCCCGAGGAGCAGACGGCTATTCGGACAGACGTGAAACGCCCAGGGCAACGTCCTCGCCGACGACGAACAAGTATACTTGAGCGATACGAGGGCATCGTAGAAGAGGCCAGATAATATTTTTGGGATGGGTAAAAATCAGGTAGAGAGCCGCACCTGGCATGACATAGCTCCAGTATCTCCGCTTGGCACAAAAGGGGGTGGTAGGGACCAAAAATACAGCCAGAGGCCAAAAAAACAAGATGGTCAAATCAGCACTGATATAATGCTGATTTGTTATGATATTTCCCCTGCTTTATCGGACGTCCAGCGACTTTATCGAGGGGGGTGGTGGTTGTTCGAGTACAAGATGTCACACCGCTTCGCCTTCGATCCTCGCCACCTTCTTCCATAACAGCATCCTATTGACAAAATCCCCAAAGAACATTTCAG